GTGTGTGTGTATGTGTATGTGCCCGTGTCATGGCCCACGTGTGGAGTTAGAGGACAACTTGTGAGAGCTGATTCTCTTCTTCTACCACATGGGTCCTGGGGATAGAACTCAGGTCATCAGGCATGGTAGCAGGTATCTTTACTGCTGAGTCATCCTGCTGTTGGAACCTCATTTAATTTTATGTCTTATAGAGTTTATAATGAGTAAAAGATTATATAAGGGTAATAATTCATCTGTAAACCTAGAAATGTACAGCCAATTTTGAAAGAGATGTACCCTAGCTCAGAAAAATGTTATTGAATAGGTTAATGCTGTTGTAATGAAATGCTTCTTTTAATTAAGAAAATAAATAAAAAAATATATATAAAGAGGATAAAGATTACAGGTGGAATAATGAAAGTGCACCAATGCAGTTTAATGCTTCTACCTTAAAAGTTGTTAATGCTACATCATTAGTGTATTTACCAATGCTGAATTTAGAATGCAAAATTGAAATTCAAAAATTGTATTAGCACAGTATTACAAACTAGATTCCAAAACGAAAAAAAAAAAAAAACCCTGAAATATGCCTGAGGAAAGTTACTTAATCTCCAGGGGACCTCATGAAAGCTCTCCAAACTGTATGGAAGAAGCTGTGCAACACTTGTGCATCCATTTCTCTGGATAGTTATGAGGTTGCATAACTTCAGTGATATTCTCAACACGCCCAGGGAGGCTGAAAACAGAACATCGTAGAGCTCTGATCTCCCTCTCTGTATTTTCAATAACTGAAGCTATGGACAACATGAAACTCGGTTTTGCACATCTAAGGCTTGGTTTTAAAGGAAAGAGGGTAAAAAAGCAAAGCAAACAGTTAACTTCCAAGGATTGGGGGAGGAAGTCTGAAATATCATTTCTTTTATGATTTTAGGACCATGTTCTGCTGTTGAATGGGAAAAGGTGGACACAACAGCTGGAACAGCTGTTGGCTGAACACAACAGTGGCAACACAGCTAGAAACAAGGGATGTAGGAAGAATCAAGCAACAATCTGATTTAAAATGCAACTTAAGCCCAGGTCTCATTTTCTGCATATTATCAATTTATCTTTATTTCTGAATATCACAAACTCCAATCAGAATACTTTAAAAAATATTCTTTTGCATGCATTTAACAAATCTGACAAAAGGACACGTATCCAGTTTACTTGCATTATAACTATGAACTTTTAACTGAAGAGCCAATGAAGATATTCAAAATCCTTAGGTATAGGTGAAAATGGAAACCTGCGAGGGATTAGTCTGATGGCATCCTACCACTATACACATTTTCATGTAACACTACTAATGACCCTGAAGCACAGGCAAATGGAGATGTAGGGCTCTCCCTAAAAAGCAAGTGAAAAAGATTAAATTTCATCATTATCACCATCATCATCATCACTACTACTGAGGACAAAGCTGCTGTCTGTGGACTGAAACCCATCTTCCTTCACATTCCCCAGAGTTGCTCTCTCATCAGAATCTTCAAAAAACTTCTCATTGGAACCTTCTTCCTCATCAAACAACTTCTCATTGGAATTATCTTCAAATAGCTTGTCATAGGCATCTTCATCTTTCTTTACATCTGTATCTTCTTCATCTTCCTTTTCATCTGAATCATCAAAGAGCTTCTCATCTGTGTCATCTTCTTCCTTTTCATTAGCATCTTCACACCCCTTTTCATCTGCATCTTCTTCATCCTCTTTTTCATCAGACTCATCATCAAAAACCTTTTCGTAGGTTTCTTCTTCCTTTTCATCTGAATCTTCATCCAATTCTCTCTCAGAGCCTTCTTCATCCAACATTTTTTCAGAGTCTTCTTCAAATTCTGACTTGTCAGTATCATTTTCTTCTAACTCTTTCTCAAGAAGGTTTTCAGGGGTCTCGTTGTCAGAGACATCCTCTTCAAAATATTTCTCAACACCATTTTCTCCTAAGTCTTTGTCGGAGCTGTCTTCAGACTGCTTTTCCGAGCAGTTTTCATCAGATTCTCTCTCGGAGTCATCCCCTTCCGACTCTTTCTTGAGGCTGTCTTCTTCTTCAGACTCCTTGATGGGGTCACTGTCTTCAGACTTCTTTGCAAGGCCATTCTTTTCACAACTATCTCTGCCTCTCTTATATTCTTTTTCGGAGCCATTCTCTTGACACTCACTTTTAGGATTACCCTCTTCAAGTGCCTTCTCAGAGCCGTCTTCTTCACTCTCTCTCTCAGAGCAGTCCTCTTCTTTAATCTCCTTTTCAGGCCCATTTTCTTCAGCATATTTTTCAGAAGCAACACCTTCAAATTCTCCCTCATCTTCTGCCTTTTCAAATTTCTTCTCATCAATGGCTTCTTCAAATGCCATTCCAGTTGCAGCTTCCTGAGCACCTGTGTTAGACATGCTTGGGCGCTCAGAAAAATGCCTTACTCTAGAAGGCCCTGCCTTTTCTGAGCCACAGATGGAATCTGAACGCTGAAGGGCCCTGTTGGCCTCAGGAGAATTGAGGAATGCCTCCCATCCTCTCAGCCTTTCCTCCCTTTCTCTTGAGGTCTCCTCCACCTGTACATAAACAAAAACTCATGTTGAGCTTTAGGCAAAAAGCAGCATCAACTTCTCTGGGTATCTCTAGTACTGGCATAAGTATCCTGATTCTGTAAAGCAACTCTTCCCAGGCAAGCCAAGCAATTTCTAACTCTAGTATTCAAAACCTTACATATTGATTAAGCAACTTTAAATATAGTTGACCTTCAATAAGATCATTTAGATAAATACAAATATCCCAGTGCTACTGAAATGTTTCCTTTCTTAAGAAGTTAATGTCTGAGCTCCCTGTCCCTTCTCTAATAAAAAAAGAGGAGAATTTTACTGTGTTCCTTTCTTATCACTATTCTAAGCTTAGAAGTTTCACAATTTCAAGCTTACAAACTGAAAAGTGACTACTTTTTCTATCATCTGAATACACAATGTTATTATTTACAAGATGTATTATTATGCAAAACATTTTAAATCAAACCCTACAATTCAGTCTAAAAGATGACTAGATTTGCAATGACTGATAATCCAATTGTTCCTATGACTTTGAAAACTGCAGAACTTACCTGATAATCTGTAGTCCCATCCCATGCTTGGGCAGTGATTTGACGGCCACCAAACCACCGTCCATCAAGAGTTTGAATACAATAATCAGCCTCCTCTGGTTCCCTAAAGGACACAGAGGCCACACCATCTGGGTGTCTCTAGAAACACAGGAAAGAACACGAAGGATTCAAGGATAAGCTTAAAAATCAAACACACATTTCATAAAGCTGGTAAAAGAGTAGCATGCTCTCTGATACTCTGAGCTAAAAGTCTTTATGAAATCTTTCTTCCCTTTTATCCCAATCGATGATATACAGTCAAGCTGCTTCTTAACTTCATCTTGCCTAGCAAGAGCCAAGCACAACATCCTTGCAAATGTTTCTGTTGACAACACTGTCTAACAAGAGGCATGGCAGTATCATTGTTAAGAGTGTGAACTCTGGGGGCTGGAGTGACAGCTCAGTGTTTGAGAACATTGGCTGCTCTTGCAGAGGACATGGGTTTGGTTCCTAGTACCCACATGACGGCTAATAACCATCTGTAACTCCAGTTTCACTGAATCCAACACCCTCTCTGACCTCTGCAGGCATAGTATGCATGTGGTGCACTTATATACACGCAGGCAAGATATCCATACACATTAAATTTTTAAAAATCAAAAAAAAACTCTTAAAAAGAGCATGAACTCTAAGGTCAGATTTGCCCTGGGATTGAATCCTGCCTGTCAGCAACTAAACAAACATGGACAAGGTGCTCTACCTTAAAAGACCTGGCTTCCTCATCTGGAAAACAAGTATACCTCAAAGGGTTATGAGGATTAAATGAGAAAACATGTAAAATAGCTTGGAGCCCACTACTAAAAAATGGTAACTTAATTACCGTGTCATTTTCTAAGTACAAGAAGGAGAAATACACAAGATAGTATTTTTTTCTTGATTGTGATCAGGTGAAGAAATCAGAGAGGGAAGAGTTTTACAGGAAACTGTGATGCCCCGTATATTTTTCTTCTACTTGCTTTTACTTAATTACACACTCTTGGGAGTGATGATTAAGAGAAAAAAGCTAGGCATATCAAATTAATCAAAGCCTTGCCTTGAAACCATGTTCACCAAACTATTGCTCACAGACAGTAGGCCTACTACATCAAAACATTCTTGGAAAATCCAGGGCATCCTGAGCCTGGAAGTCACTCCTGAGCTGGAAGGATGGTGGGCTTCAGGACTCACTAGGGCAAGCCATGAACTTACATCAAAGAGAAGGAGCTTCTTAATCTGTCCAAACTTTGAGCACTCTACACGAAGGTCTTCTCTGATCTCATTCAGCACCAATGGATCATCCTGCAAAAGTAAACATGATGAAAACCGGCCTCTTTACAGTTCGAGAATCAAATATATTATTGTGACAAATTAACAAATAAAAGAAGGGTTTTTTTCAATTTAATTTTATTTTTTAATTTTTAATAACTACATGATTAGAAGAAGCATTTCATTACAGCTTTAACATATTCACTAACACATTACAGAGCAAGAGTACATCTCTTTCACAAGTGGGTGCAAGTTTCTAGGTTCACAGTTGAATTAATACAGTTATAAAATACTGAACTCAGTATAAGCCCTGTAAGACAGACATAAAGTTGAATGAGTTTTTAACCTTTAAAAAAGATCTTCATTTCAATTCAGAATATATTGTTCCTTGTAGAAAGACTCATTGTTTTTGCTACTAACACTGAGATGTTGGCGCTTGCATCTCTAATCTGTATGTATCTGATTATTACTAGTCATAATTGGTTGCACTTGGATCCTTGGTGCCTGTGTATGTCTATAAAGTCATCGGCTAGATTTCAATGGTAATGTTTATCACCTCTAATAATTAGCATGATATAAATTTCCATGCTTCCTCCTCAAATATAATGCATTTTTTGTTAATTTTTGTGTGTGTGTGTGTGTATCACACAGAACATCGCAAACCATCTTATTCAACTATACACCCACTTCCCAGATGGCACCCTCCCATAGTCACCCTCCCCCTACTAGAGCCCTTATACTCTGATATTCCTACTACTGTCCGCTGTGTTGTCGGCACCCCCTAGCCATTTCCCACTACTTGCCCTTCTGGTGAATCTAGTCAGCCTATCTAGAGGTCTTTGTTTTAGGAGGGTCAGCTGTTCCTCATCTAGCAGTAATCAGTTGCCAATATTCCTATGGATAAGATTGGGGTCTGCTGTTCATTTTCCCAGTTCTATGCTGGGTTACTATCTGGGAGTCCCTTTGGCCACCTTGGCCAACAACTCAAAAGAAGTTATCTCCTATCTGGCATTGTTGCTTGTTATGTAGCCTTTAGCTATGCATATAGACTCTTAAGAAATTATATTGGCCCCTTTAATCTTTGGTTATACTTTCCTTTTGGGTGTTTAAGGCCATACAGTTGGCCCAGATAAAACAATTTATTTTTGCTCTTAAGGTCATTTGAGGATCTGTTCCTCAGGGGTCACATGGGCTTGGGAGGAGCCCCTGGCTCCTTGCTTTTACCAGTTCTGCCTATGTGAAGATAAGTCAAAGGTCTTGTTCGACTATGGTTGGCTTTGCTTGGAAGCTTGGAGGAAATGATTCCTCTGTGTTGACCCTCCTCTTTGTAGACTGGACACTGGTTCAAGTCCATCTGGTGGGGTCTCCTCGGCTTCCTTGATCAAGAGGACAGGCAACCCACCACAATTATAGGACATTTTGAGAGATACTCATAGTCCCCTGGAACTAGTCGACCTAGGAAGGCAAGGAGCAAAAACTGTCCTTTATGTCCCTCTGACAAAATTATTACAGGCCTCAAAGTATGTTTTACTTAACATGAGTTATGTTTGTCTGCAGGCTACAGAAATAAATGAATAAAATAAAAAATAAACTGTTTGATGACTTCAGTCATTGTTACTAATACAGGTCTGCTCTGCTTGAGAGAAGAAATGAACACGCATAGCACAGAGCAGGCGAGGCCAAGGAAAAATCACATACCTGTGCATATGCACATGGCCGTATATAACATATTACATACACACACATGACATGAAGGCACAAAGGAAACTGAAGGAGACTAGCAGAAAGCAGAAAGGACGAGGAGAGAAAAACAGGAGGGCACAGAGGGTGAATGTGGTCAAAGTATATGATGTACTTGAAGGAAATTATTCTTAGGGTCTGGAGAGATGGTTCATTGGGCTAAGAGGGCATATTGAGCAAGCGTGAGTACCCTAAGTTCAGATGCAAGCACGCATGTAAATAGTCAGGCATGGCTAAGCACACAGACGAAAACCCCTGCTGTGGCAGGCAGAGAAATGAGGATCTCTGGGGCTTGCTAAATGGCAGCCTAGCTATAAATTCAGAGACACCTGTCTCAAAGGAATACAGCAGTCATAGACCAGGATACTCCACATCCTCCTTTGGCCTCCACACATGCATGCACAGGCACACAATCAAATACACATATTATACACACATACACACACATAATTGCCTTTACAAAACCCACCACCATACACAATAAAAAAAATTTTTTTTTTGCTCTTTTCGAGACAGGGTCTGCCTGTAGCCCCAGCTGGCCTAGATCTCACTAGGGGAACCAGCTGACCTTGGACTCACAGAGATCCCCCTGCGTCTGCCTCCAGAATGTTGGGTTTAAAGGCATGTGCCAACATGCCATATTTTATAAAATGAAGTGTAGAAATAGGAATGGAAATCCCAAATTAACAGCATGTATTTTATCCGAATCTATGTCATAATCACACTGAGGAGAGCCTTTGCTCTGGGTTTGGGGCAGAAATCTATTTACAGAAAGGCTGTAACAGAAACAGATAAATCCCTATCACTGCCTAAGGGCTGTAAGATCGCTGAGCTTCCAAGATCGTATTTCAACTCATAGTATATGCATTTTTAAGGATTCCTCTTTCTTATCCCTGCTATGCAGCAAGAGAACCACACAGCACACACTTTAAACACACAATAAAATGAATTCATGTTGTTGCTTTCACAACTCTGAGTGTGTGAAAAACATTCAAGTACTGCTGTTTCTAGTGGTCTCAAATTAGGCAGATTCTCCTCCCAAAACATCAAAAGGATTCAAGACTCCCAGTAAGAATTAACAAAACTTTCTCTAAGTTTCAGGCCATGAAAAAGGGTCAGAATCAAATGTATCTTTTCTGCTCTATAGTATCCTAATTCTTCAAGATAATGTTCCCCTTCTACAAGAAGACTCTTCAACCTAGCAAATTATCCATGGAACTTTCCACTCTTAACTTTACACTGGCTGAGACGGTGGGCACTGGCCACATGTGGTTCTTGGGCACATCACTGTTAAAATTAGTCTTACTGGCTTCATATTTTATTTTTATTAAGACCATAGAAACATTAAGTTTACAATATATTCCTATTGGACCATGCTGATGTGTACAGAAAGAAATCTAACTTTCAGCTTCAGTTTTGATTCGTTTCTAAATATTCTGAAGTTTCCAAAGTATTTTTACTCAATACTGAAGAACATCTGAAGTTACATTAAAAAATTACCCTTCAATATCTGCCCTGATACAAAAATTCATTCTTAGTTATGAAGCTTCTAACATTACTCATAAATAATCACTAAAATTCCTCTTGAACCCTTCTATCAAGTTATATAATATACTGGGCATTGTGGTACCTGCTTGTAACCCTCATTCATGGGAGGTAGAGGCAGGAAGATTGAAAGTTTGGGGCCAACCTGGACTAGGAAGATCCTGTCTATAAAATAAAATAAAGCACTGCATAAGACCTATACCAGTATCATCTAGCATTTTCTGTGGTGATATCGATGTTTCATATATCTGCATTACCCTGTATGTGTGAGGAATGATTTTTGTTTCATTTTAATTTAAATAATAATTTGTAGTTAAAGTCTACCATATTTATATAGTGTAGGTCTATAATGATATACTTTTAGATCCAGATACACAAAGACCATTAAGGAACAAAAAGGAAAAAGTGACTGCTGCCCTCTTGCTAACAGGCTCTCAGCTAGCTGGTGGAGATCCGGCAGCTGTGCAAACAAAGAGCGTGCACACCAACATGGATTTCTTCCCCTGCAAACTCTGAAGCTCACCACTGACTGTCCTGCCATGCTGAGGCTCAGCATCTGGGAAGAAAACTTGCTTTTATTTATAAAGTGCTGAAGAGAAAGTGCTTTACCCACTATGTGATGAAAAGACAGTGGTTTGGAAGTAACAGGGATGTCACTCATTTCTTCAATTATTCTTCATACAAATAAAGGATAGGGTTGGGGGTAGCTCAATGCTACAACGTGTGCTTCTTTAGCATAGGCAACACTCTGAATTAGAGCCCAGCACCAAAAGAAGTATTCAGGATATATTAGTAAATGTATTTTCAAAGACTGGCTGGGAAAGGTACAATTCTACACAATGGGGATACAGCACCAAAAGGACAAAGTCCTGGTTCTCAGGAGTTCACATTATGGCAGAGGGAATAATACTATTTCAGAGGTTAAAAATGCTATGAAGGAAAAACAGAATGGAAACATGAGGGCTTTGTAACTCCAAAGTATCAATTTATAAAAAACTACGGACTTTAATTAATTGTGTGTGTGTGTGTGTGTGTGTGTGTGTGTGTGTGTGTGATTGTGCATGTGCCACAGCAGGCATGTGGAGATAAGAGGACAGGTGCTGGTTCTCCTTCTACCATGTGGGTCCCAGGGATCAAACTCAAGTGCCTTCAGCCACTGAGCTATCTCATCAGCCCCTCATGGCTTAGGCCTGTAATCAAGCATTTTAAGGGATGGAAGCAAGAAGACTGTTGAGTTTGAGGACAGCCTGCACTAAACAGCAGCTTCAAGTCAGCTTGAGCTACACAGAGAATGTCCATCTCAAAAAAAAAAAAATCCAAAAAAGTAGCTTTGGAGGCGTAATATCTGGGAAAAGTTAATTCTACACTGCGTGATAGTTCTACTGAAATAAGGTATCCCAAAGAGCAAGGCAGTAGAAAGGAAAAAGAATCAACTGTAATCAGACTTCTACTTGCAGAGGGTCTGATGCTTTCAATCAAATTTGCAGTTATATTCATGTTTGAGTATTGGCAGGACGAAACTGTGAATCAAGAACTTCAAGTCACAGAAATGTATCAGTCATGTGATAAATGAACCACCTATTTTCCAGTAGGGTACAATAGGAAACTTTACCCTTGAATCTAGTGGACATAATACATGACTTTTAAAGTTATGACAAGGACGGCATTTCAAAAAACAACTACAGAAAGTTCTCAACTTACAGTGGCCTTCTGTCTCACTAAACCCAGCCTGAACTGAAATTACATGAAGTAATACTTAATACACCTTACATTCCACTTTAGTCTTATCTACCTTCAAAACGTGCAGAACAAAACACGTATGTTAGCCCACATTGGACAAAGCATCTAACAAAAAAATGAACAGCTCAGGTAGTTAACTGAATACTGTTCAAATGTTCTGTAGACCATTGTTTATTGACAGTCCGAAGCAAATGGCTGACAGAGTTGCAGCTTGTAGTCACCACCCAGTTCTCTGAGAGGATGATAGTAAATATTGCCAGACAGTGAAAATCTCAAAACCCCCAATCTGAATTATGGTTTCTGTTGAATGTGTATTGCTATCACATCATTGCAAGTTGAAAAATTGGAAGTCGGTAAGTCAGATTGCCTATTATAGTATACATTTGTGATTTTCAATTGAACTTCATTAGTATTCTGCTGTTATATTTCAAGAGTCTTCTGGTTTTCTGGTCAGAAGAGACATTAAGCTTTATAAACAGACTACAGAATCTATCTAATGACTAAAACATACTCAGACTCCACCAAGTGCACAGTAAACACTATTACATCACAAATCATGAAGGCAGAGCTCAACCGTCCATTTTGAGACCCCCCCCCACTCCAAAAAAGAGCCCAGGTGTGGCATACACCTTTAATCCTAGCACTCGGGAGGTATAGGCAAGCAGATCTTTCTGAGATTGAAGCCAGCTTGGTCTACATAGTAAGTTCCAGGCCAACTGGGACTTCAGGGAGACCCTGCCTCAAAAGACAACCAAAAAAAGAACTGGAAAAAAAAGGAGAGTAAGAACGGACACTGGTGGAAACAGGTTACAAGTAGAACATTTCTAAACCTGAAGTTTTACATTATGAGCATTTTTTTCTCATGTGCAATATGCTATCATTAATTCCAGAGCCAGAGGGAAAAAGTTGTTTTTCCACTAATGATAGCATCAATCCACACTAGCTGATAAAAGAGCCACAATGCAATGCAAGTTATCGGGACAATTCATATTCCTAAACATCTTTTTCTTCCTTTAGTCACTGCTAAGTGCTGGTTTAGGAGTTTTATGGGGACATAAATATTCACTAAAGAACTCTGAAAAAATGTGATCTTGAAAAAAAAAAACAGTACTGAAATTCAGGGGCTGAATTTCATTAAGCTAAAGGGTATTTTTTTGTTGTTTTTTTTAAGAATCAAACTTTTAGTAGCAAAGTGAAGTTTTAAGATGCAAGTGTGGAACTGGTAACTGCCACTGAAATCAGCCCATGCTTATTGAACTGCACTAACAATCCACAAGCTATTCCCATGAATCTTGTAATGATGGTTGTTCATAATGATTTCAGATACCAAGCAGCTTCTGTTTGGAGCCACAGCATGAAAATTAACATTTTTATCTGGGATACAATGAAAAGAACACTGTGATAAACAAAAGAAACACAAAAACTTGGATTTATTCTTGGTCCCATTCTCCTGTGTTACCCATGATTACATGAATATTCCAGATGTGATTTGATAAAGACAGAGCATGCTATGCTTTGAATACTCTTGAAAGAAAACACACCAGTAGTTCTGTCTGTTAAAACATCTTTTCTTACCTCAAAATCCATGGGGTGGAACATATTTTTGATGATGACAACTCGCTCATGGCGCATCCGGGAGGGTCCAGCTCTCCTCTCAGGTCTCCAATCCAACTGCCTAATGCAACAAATGTAACAATGGACTGACTCTCAGTTCAGATTTGTGGGAGAGAAAAATGAATTAATATACTCATTTTTGAGTATTTAATAATGGTAATTATCTAATTCCAACATAGTTCCAGTCACAGAACTTTCTGGAATAAAGAAATACTAGGCAGGGGAAAAAAAACAAAACATCAGGACCTGAAATCACCAGTGTGTATTCTTTTCCAACGTAATGTCTCATTCCATAAACATTCCAATTGGACTTCTAAAACCTGCCAATTATCTAGGATTTATGACTTTTTAGGAAGATGCAGTTACCCCACAGTTATCTGTGGAGGACTGTTCCGGGACACCTCCATCCCCATTGGCTACCAAAATCTTAGGGCATGAATGTCTTCTAGTGTACTTTAAATTATCTCTGGATTACCTATAATATCTTATACAATGTAAATGCTATGTAAGTAGAAGAGGCAATAATGACAAAAGATTTGCTCATATTGATAGCATGTCCTCAGATACAGAACCCAGGGACATGAAAAGCTGTTTGTACTTTGACAGCAAAAACTGTTTTAAATTTGTTTGTAATTTATACAATTATAAAGAACAAACTACACTGAAAAGTATACTACTACTAGCTCTTAGTTATAATCTTAAATTTTACTGATACTCTGTAAAATTTGTAGACATCTATTTTACCTAAGCCTGTGAAAACTGTTAAGACAGCCCAACTAAAATTCGGTGATCATTTTATCATGAGTTTAAAATGATTATCATCATTTTATCTAGCATAATACTAAAATGTTAACAGAATCCACTGTGGAAAGTACTTACCATTTTGGTCACTTCCTAAAATTACCATATTTAAAAAAAATATGTTTAGTAAAAGATTAGGAGAAATGTGATAGTACATATATATAACATACAACTATACAGTAAATACCAACCAATTCTAACTTCTACTAACAAACTTGTATCTACAAATATTCCTCCTGATAGTTGATTTCTATCCATGCTGAAAATGAGCAAATCATCCTGGAATATAAGCCTATACTACTGTCATTTGATATTTACTACTTAGTGGGGTTAAGTTCCTTAACATATTATAAATTATCACTCCAGAAAAGAAGACAATTATCACTGGAATCAGCCCAGGAAATACACTGCTGATAACCCCCGATGACAAATGAAATTCTTTTAGAATAATCTATAGACATATTTGATGGAACAAAACTAGGTGGCTATTACCAAAACTACACTTTAAAATATTTATATGACACCCTTTCTAAAAAGAAAAAAAAATAATACAAACTTCTGCTGCAGAGACAGCTTCTTCTTATAATCTTTGCACTTCTTTTTCTTCTTTGAGGCATCGTATTCACCCTTCAGCTGGAACTTTGCCACCTCCACATGCAATTTGTAGCCTCTAATTTCATCTTCATCTAAAAGTTTTAATGCAAGTTCCACAGATTCTTTCTTTATAAGAGTCAAATAAAATAGAGTCAGAAGTTGAGCACTGAAATGAAACGAATTTTTTGTGGCGATTTATATAAACAATGGCAACTACCTACTTCGAAATAAAGAATCTTAGACTATAAACCAGGAAAGCTGTATTAGTAATACAGCTATTCCTTAAATACCTGTGTTAACTTGGACAAGCGACTTTACCTTGTTGAAACCCAATTTCTTCATCTGCAGAAAGCTAAAATAATACCTTCATCACAGGGTTACTGACAAAATTCAATGAAATAATGCATGGAAAGGATGGGGTCTAGAGTATAGTAGGTGTTCAATAACTATTGGGAAATTTTGTCTCCAAGAACCCCAGTTTATCATTTGCAGAACGAGTGGACTTCAATAATTTCTAAGGTTCATTCCAGTTTTGAAATTCTGTAACCACTACTTAAAGGAGTGGATGCTTCAAGGAACTGGAAGCAATAGAGCCAGTCTTTAATGTTCTGCATCATCAAACTAAAATGTAGATCTGTGATAGCATGCTAAGTAGAGGGTAATTATTTGATGGCTTATATATTAAATGCATTTATGAATTCTGGGTCCTACACAAAAAGGGTGGTTATCATCCCTATGTAAATAGTCAAAAATCTTAGGGCCTGAGGAAAGCACAGAGGACCACTGACCTCAACTGCTCATATCAAATATGAATCCTAGAAAATTTAACCCAATTTTTCTGGAGTGCAATTTACTTGTTTGAAATTTGTAACTTTTATGTGCCCTAAGTTTTATATAAAAACATTTCACAAAGCTCCAATTTCCTTTAAAAATCCAACCAGGGGGCTAGCAAGACTGGCTCAGTGCTTAATAGCACTTGCTGCTCTGGCAGAGGACCCAAGTTCAGTTTCCAGCATCCAGGTGGGGAAAGACCCGTTTAAAACTGCCTGTAACTCCAGCTCCACAGGATCTAAGGCCTTCTTCTGGCTTTTGTGGGCACCAGCACATCCGTGCACACATGCATACGCAGACACATACATACACATGAATAAAAATAAAATAATTTTTAAAAATCTAATTACAACTCTCTCCTTTTAAAAATCACTTCATAGATTTTTAGTAATCTTCAAACTGGTAAAATTTTCAAACCCTGCATGACAACAGTACAAAACTATCATCCTACAATGGTTCTCTTCATGTCCCCTTACCCATCTTGTTTAAGAAGCAGATCAAAAGCTTATAATCCAAACCCTCATCAGCACAAGCTTACCTTCTTCTCATCCTACTGGATATTGGATACTGTCTACTAAGTACACACCCATGATATCTGTAATGTTATTTTATCATTTTGACTTTAATTTTTAGTTATTTTCAGGTTCTGTGACAAATACATCTGTCATAATTGTACCCATTTCCCTTGGACCAATCACTAATGCATAATACATGTTCTTGAGGTGACAGGTATTCCAGAAATGTCGACTGCCTTGAACACTGAGCATTCCCTTTCCAATTTATGGTACCAAGACAACACAAAATTCTGCAAATATCTGTTTATAACTCTCTTCTCTGGTGTGTAAAGCAGTAACCAAGCATAAGGTAATAGCTCCTTTCTGATCTAATTCAGAGGTTTGAAAATTCCTTTGGTAAAGAGCCATTAGTAAATAGTTTAGGCTTAGAGGGTCAGAGGTCAATGCTGCAAGCACTCAGTCCTACTGATAAAACACAAAAAGTAGCCACAGACAAAGCCATAAGTGAATGAGTGTGGTTGTGTTCCAATAAACTTTATTTGCAAAACAGGTAGTATGCTGGACTTTGCTAAACACTGTTCCAATTTATTCCATTTGGGCAAATAAAATGGCACTGGCATTTTTTCTTCTCAGATTTTTAAACTGTTTTCTTTTCACTATTGATTACATGTACTGATAGAGAAGTCGTTACAGTGAGTTTGTATTTTTTTAAGAAAAGGCTCTTGATCACATACTTATATAACACTTTGACCTTGTAATAAAGTATCTTAAAATAAGCCAATACCTTAGCAATGCTACCCATTGCTAAGCAACTTTTGGTTTTTACTGTTTTGTTGTTCTAAACTTTCAATTTGAAGCCTTAGTCCAGTACAGTGTAGAGAGAGACATAGCAATTTATATAAGACAATATAAATTTCAGTTTTCTTTGTATACTGTTTTGGCTAGTTCTTGATATAAGTTAGCAAACATGAAAGATTAGAGTCCTGATTCCTGAGTTAAAAATGGAGAGAGAAGAAACTTATTTGACTACATAACCAACCTTTAGATAACAGCAAAGCCCATCTCCTTTAAGATTTCCTTGATTATCCTTGTAAAGTTTGACCTTAAATTCTTCTGTCTGAGGATCTCTCATAATAATGCCAAACTTGGACATAAGCTGTATAAATTCATCCACTGTAATGTCTGGAGGCAAACCTGTAATTTCAGGGAAAACTTTTAAAGTACTTATGAAGGTGAACACTATTTCACATCTTACCAACGGGAAATCTACAATTTACATGAAGGCAAGGCTAATTTTTCTAAATGAATGCTAAAACCTCTTACCTATAAAACTGAGCACTGTTCGTATTTTTATACATTCAAATATAAATCAAAGTTATGCTTTGTTTACACATCACTGAATCTGAAGGGGCAAGCTGCTCTAAGTTATCTGAAGCATGCATAAAGAATGGCATGCAAAGTTGCAAAATTGTCTTCATTCCCTAATAAAGTCCTAACTTCCATAAACTGCTAAACGAACAAAACACACTGAAGACTAAAAATCACTTAGTGAAAAGTCTCAACACAACATGTTTCCAACCTTAAGAGTGCATTAAAAAGACACAGATACCTGATACATATACATTTGTGTTTCTGTCTTCTTCAACATGGAACCATCCTAAAAATCAAAATGAAATAAATAGAATATTTGCAACCAACAATTTCATAAGAGTCACATTATGAAATCTTGACAATGGTAGTTCCTTAAAACTTTCAGGAATGTTCTTGTTCCTTTAAGAAGACCAAGACTACTCAAATCACTACCAAGCTTTTAAAATACACAAACCTTTTGGCTGAAAATTAGTTTTAGGGTCCCCTCTGAATGAAAAAAAGTTATCTCGATTCTTGATAACAAACACTATCTCAAAGAGAAAACTCGTATTATTTAATCCTTCAATGCTATTATAACCCTCCAAAGCGTAACACAGATTCAAATATTTTCATATTTCACTTTTATAAGCAGGTTTTGTAAAGTAGAAAGAAACACTTACCTGATTCAACCTTTCTCTTTTCTCCTTTCTTTCTGGGGTCAGTGGTTTCAGGGATTTCTCTTTGTGGAGGTTCTTCGACATTCTTAGTATTGGTGTCCTGGACACTTGCAGTAGAACTAGATGCGCCATCACTAGAGAAGCCGTAGTTAGCCTGATAAGTCGCAATGAAATCTTCTGTGATCTAAACAAGAAAGTCACACACACATACATACACATACACAGAAATGGTTGCTTACACCAATAAATTTAAACTGTGTTACAGTACATATAGTATATTCAGTGATACAACTTAAATTTAAAAGTGTTTGTCGTAATAGCTGTGAGGCTCACCTTATACTGAAAACTGTGTGGTACGATGAAAGTTAAGAAAAAGGTACTCAGATTACCAGCACAAAAGTATGAGATACTTAAAGTATTTTAAGTGATGCTAGCACCTTTTCTAGTTGTTTAACATATAAATGACTACTTCTCTACAGTATACTTGACTAAGGCAACAAATACATAAAACAGAGTGCCAAATAACAAGGCAGAGTAAAGACCAAAGTCACCTAGTAATCTAACAAGAGAATCTACTTTTTGGTTCATAGATGCAAAAATATGTATGTCCACTAAGTACTGTGATGTTCTGAGGCTAGCAGTTGTCAAACCAAATGCTCGTTTCAACTTTACCACTAATTAAATCACATTAGGCATTTAGTGTCAGAACAAATTAAAGAGAAACCCAATACAAACCCATCTTACGGGCTTTTCGGGGAAAACTCTAGTGCAAATGAAGTTATCACATTAGGTCAGTTGGTGTCAGGCACACATAAAAGTAGAGACATTCTTAAATGCCAAAGTTTGAAGAAGAATGGGCTTCAGTTACATAATAAAGTTACCACGCAGTTGCTTATGAGACTATTTTCAAATGTACACAGAAGTTGGAAGAAATCACATTACCTTCATTCAAGCTGACACTTCAAGTACAGAAGTGAGATAGTAAATTTTAACAATTTGCAGGCTTGGAAGTATACAGATAACACAAATACAACATGAGAAAGAACAGAATTACATAGAATTCTGAAATACAGAATTATTGAAGTAACAACCCATCTACACAATAGTAATAAGTTTTATGTGATTGGCTTTCAAGGCACTTGGTGTACTGTTAGTATCCTTTGACACTGATGCGCCTAAGGAGCTAAGATTACAGAGAACTTTCACCACAAGGGTTATAGCACCACGTTTAACATTAGCTGTTTTACTTTGAAGCTTACACCAAACTTAACAATTTTCAAGTACCCCAAATAAAAGTACAGTGATCTTTTCCATCCATTTTCTATACATGGCTGGTCATATTCCTGTGGATGTAAGGTTCACACTTGGATGCCCTGGAGCAAAATTCAGTAGAAAAATAAAGCAAGATGTAAAGCAAGTTTATTCAATAAAGATAGGTAAATGGCTACTCCCCCCACAATATCAACAAGCTGCATTTTGCACATAGTACACAAGTTAATATCTGAATTTCTCATATAAGTTTGGCTATCTGGGATCAAACAGTTACTAAATGTACTGTTTTTCTTGGTGTTTTTCCTCGTAGTAATAAAAAAGTCAGCGATATAACAACTGTGACCTTCACAGAAGAAAAAATTAGTAAGGCATAAAAAAGACATTTAAGGCACCACTCTAAGATAGACTCTTTTATACACGGGTCCTGCAAGAGAAGAACAAACTGACCAGCCACCATTCACCCAGTCAGGACCTTGGCAAAGCAAAGGTAAAAGGAGTGTCCTGTAAGGATGGCCAGGGGACCCCATCTGCAGTGGCGCCCAAGCCACTCTTTCTTACCTTAGGGAACCAAGCCTTCTTATCCAAGTCCCACTCATAGGGAGTGTCAGCAGGCGGCTGCCCCAAAGAATCGCTTTCTCCAACGGGCTCATTTTGAGTGTCACCTTCCTTGGGGTCTCCATACAATTCTTGCATTCGCAACTGTTCATTAAACTCGTCGTTCCCACTTAAGTTATTACCGCTCATGTTTCTGATCTAGCCCCAGGGACAGTGTTCAGAGATAAGAAGTGGCCAAAATGAGGCTGGACCGGAGCAGAGAAAGGGAAGTCGGTCGAGCTCAGACTGCCCCGCAGCCCCCGGCCCGCCTCCCCGCAGCGCCCCAGCAGTCCCTGGGAAGTCGAGCTGCACCACCCAGGCTCCGCCCTCGCGCCCGCCCCACACGCGCACGCATGCGCCCTGATGCTTCCAGCACAGTCGCCTCCACCCACCTGGCTGGCTCCGCTGGGCCTCAAAGCCAACGCTCTGTCCAGGGCGCAGCGGGAGCGCGCAAGCGCGCCGCCGTCACTGCCGATGGCGCCGGAGGTACGGCAGCTCCCCACCGGCCACGTCGGGAAACTATTTGAAAACGCAGTCCACCTTAGGTTGCTTCCGTCGCCATTGTCCGCGCGTGGCTACGTAGCGGGTCGCGCCGACACGCCCCCAGTGGCGTCAAAAGGCGCCGACGCGTGCGAGCGGCTTCAGGCCCAGTAGGCGGGGTATCTCCAGGCAAGCCGCTGTCCCAAGTCTACACTCACAGGGGCTCGTCACCAAGCCGCGGCCAGCAGAGACCCACGACACCTTAGAGATCTTGGGCAGTCCGTGGTCCTGGGCGGGCTGGCCGAGTTTGGCACGTGCAGTAGCCTGTATGACGTGGGAATAATCCCATGCAGCAGGCGCTCGCCGTGCTTTGCGGCGGCCGCCATCTTGGGAAGGTGGGTGGGACTTTGGGACAAGTTTCTCTCCCTTCTCGAAACTGACGCGTCTTCTTAACGCCAAGGCCCGGCCCCTGAGCAGAAACAGAGTGTTTACTTATTTTTAAATACGTACCTTAGGGTAGGCGCGACTTTTGTTCGTCTTGGTAGTCTAAGCACATGGAGTCTAGTGAGAACTGAGTGAATGAGTGAACGACGATGGATGGAAAGGTCCATCACTTCCTAGCTCACCCCGCCTCTTGATATAGGTCTGGTACCTTCCTCAGGCTGCAGTAGATTTCCTTGCGGGGGCGGGGGGGGGGTGGGCGGCAGCTGGACTGGGATTTCAGAAGTGTACTTGAAGCTTAAGTGTAAACATCGCACATATATAAACAATAGTTGTACTGTCTGACTCCTTAGACTTTTTTTTCCTCTATTTATGTGTGTGTGCGTGAGTCTGAGCTTATGCCACGTATGTGCAGGTGCCTGCAGAGGCCAGAAGAGGGCGTCGGATCCCCCCCGGGGTTGGAGTTGCAGCTTTGTGTTGCCCATCAAGCATTCTGGGAACTGAACTCCGGTCCTCTGGAAAAGAGCAGCAAGCATTAACCGCTGAACAATCTGTCCAGCTCTTTATTTAAATACAGCAGCCTCCGTTCTAAGAGTTTCCCGCCTGCGCCTAGATATTTCTTGCCCCTCAAAGTGAAGTGGTCCATGTTTTTTAATTAGGCAGTTATTTATTGCCCTATTAAGAGTCAGGCATTGAGGGAGTTTCTGAGCACAGCAGTCAAAAAGAGGCACAACTCAGGGGAGATATGATTGGCAAACAATATGATACAAGTATCAGAGAGCACTGTTTCTCAATTATTTTGTTTTCTGCATCCTTTTATGCAGAAAGCAGAAGCAGGCAGATCTCTGTGAGCTTGGTCTAACTATTTCCAGGCCAGCTGGGGCTACAGGAGACCCTGTCTAAAATAAAAAACAAAAAAACTATGGAAAGGCCTAAACGGCTTTTTTTTTTTCTTGGTATGTGGATTATGTTTATCAGTATTTGTTGCTATAGTATTAACGCTGACATTTAATTTTTTAATTAAATCATTAAAATCAGCAATGAAATCTGTATGTGTAAACATCAGTATCATAACCCAGACTTGACAGTGGGGAAAAGTTTCCCAGAAGTTATTGCCACCTTTTTTTGTAAATTCAGTGGCTGAGGGTGGATTCCAGAAAATCCTAGCTCCTCACATGTTGGCTATGTGAATCCAATTCCAACAATAACAGCAATTTTTCAAACGGTAGTTTTTGGCTTCCAATTACATTTTTTACGAAGTTCTTGGTGGGTAGGAAATGTTGGAGAATGAACTTGTATGCATGTTATGAATTTTGCTAGTCTCATTTAAGTACTGCTAAATATTTATTCTTGGGTCTGTAAATACCTTACAGCTCTTTCCAATCATGTGTTATTGGAATTCTATTGTATTCTGAAATGACTTTACAACATAGGTAATAATATACTACATGACTGTACTGCACATGACACTCTTGATATCTGCTGTACACACAGCCCCCTTCCAAGCTATGTCTAAGTTCTATGTCACCCAACCACCTTCGCCCAAAGGCTGTCTGGAAGCCTGTGAGGTGACCTAGCTCAAGGTCGCATTGCAATCTACCCTGTATTTGACTGGGTTAATATCAACCTGTCTCATAAAGTTTGAGTATGGAACAAACAGACACAGTCAGAATGGAACAGAGCCACCTATGGAAGGAAAATGCCTATGCAAAAAGTTCCCCAGGGATGAAAGAAGCAACCAAAGTAGATCAGAGGCTCACTGAGTCTGAGTTGCCTAATAGTAGAGCCCTAGAATGAAGAGATAAACACACTTGCACCTGCAATGCTATTCTCGCCCCCTTTGTGTAGGAACTCTGTCTGGAAATTTACTGAACTATACCAAACTAGATTTTTTTAGATGGCCTTTTCAAGCCTACTCTGTTTTAGCGTGTTCTTGTCCCTCCGTCCTTTATTCTCAAAACTTAGTGGGGAAAAAAAAATCTTCCTTCTGACAAAAAGATTAATAGATCTCAGACATTATATATATATATATATGATATAAACTATAGAAGTTCTTTAAAACTAAATTTGCTGTTTAGCACTTTTGATTTCAGTAAGGAAGAAATAACCTTCAGATGTGTTTTGGTTATACCTAACTTTGTGACTGTATATTCGTACTTCATAGAGTATTATTGTGATCCATATCCTAAGTTGGGCAAGGGAAGACTTGGGGAAAATTAAGACATGTTCACAATTTGTTTTGCATGTGTCTATATCTCTCCCTTATCTAGAACTCTTGGTAAAGAAATGAAATGTCCCATAGAAATATTGCTTGTAGCACAATAAACAATGTGAACCTAATTATGGATATTGTAGCCTACCTGTAAAGTTAGCTTCAGGAAATATAATCTGTTAACCCTCCTCCAAAACACTAAAAGAAATCCAGAAATTGTAATCCCAATTCTATAGTTATGAAAGGGGAGGAGTTTGATTCCTAGGAAGCTAGGAAGGTATTTTATACATATTTCTACTTGTGTAGAGCTCTAGTTTTAGGAAGTATGAGAAGGCTCTCTTGGATTTTGTAGGTAGATGCTTTGGAAAATAAAGGTGTTCTGTATTCTCCCTCCCCCCCCTCTCGTGTATGTCTGAGAGTGTATGTGTGTGTGTAAGATGTATGTGCAGGTGCATGTGCATGGAGACCAGAGGAGGGTGTCAAGTATCTTTCTTTATCACTCTCTGCCCTACTCCTTTTGGGGCCAAATCTGAACCTGGAGCTTGCATCTTTCAGTCAGGCTAGCAGCCAACAAGCTCAAGCAATTCTCCCCTCCTGTCTCTGCCCCAGTCAGTGCTGAGATTACACAACACATCCTGCCTGTAACATGGATCCTGGGATCTGAAATCTACTCAGGCTTCCACGGCAAACACTCTGAACTGCTGAGCTCTCTCTCCAGCCTGCAGCCTGGTACTTTTATGAAGTTATTTTTCAGATGTTATGCTCAGAAGAGTAAATATATAACTTTTGTCCTAGTTAAGGAAAATAAATGTTTTATACTTCTGTGATTTAAAACCAACAAACCTTATAATTATATCAGGTTTTTGTATTCTGTCATACTGTTTTTTAAAATAAAAAGTTACATAAAGCCATTCAAACTTTATTTCATATTTATTTGTTAATCCCCAGTTTTACAGTGCCCATCTTGAAGCAGTATTAATACAATATTAGCACCCCCACTTTAGTTAAGCCTGGTTTACAGAGATGTAAAGCCCCGTGTTAATATATGCCCCTTTTGAGCTACATAATTAGCAAAAGTTCACAAATACACAAGCCATTTATAGCTCAAAATTACCAAAAGCACTCTCAAAAAATCAAGTTTTTAAAAATACAATTTTAACTATAGTGCCAAAGATAAGCTTTAATTTACTTCAAGAATACATTTTCTGAAATCACAATTTAAATCTGACAAATCTATTAACTACAGTTTTGTTCAATGACAATAACAAGCTTATGGTGTTCGCAAGTAGGAGCAGAGGACAGAAAGTCAGAGCCTTCTATCTGACTTCCAGAAACAGATGAATTATAAGACTTAGGCACCCATCAAATTGAGTCAATACAAGCAGGAAGAAGATCTGATGACACTTGCACAGTCAAGTGTTAGAGATCTCACATAGCAGTTCTACAGGTTTTTAGAAAGAGGGCACTGCTCACCGGAGAGAAATGAATTTCCTTAGAGAAAGAATTTCAGACACAGCTTAGAGACTTGGTCAAGAGCCTTTCTCTGGGGCCCTTGGTGACATCAATGATGTGGCCCCTTATTGTGCCTGTGAATAAGACAAATTCTTGACAACGTTTTTGAATGATGGCTTTGCCTAGTTATTAATCAATGGCAGTAGAATTACATGAAGTCAGAAGTGTGGATCCAGTAAGGGAAGCACCCTGCCCCAGACGCAGCACTTCATACCCGCTGACTCTCAAACATTTTCATTTCAATGGCAAGATTTGTTATATTGAACTAGTGATTAATGGAAAAGGGTGGTCATTCTGTAAAGGTATATTTTTTCACAAAAGCGCCATAAGAGATGTTTTATCTCTTTTTGATCTTTTCATATGCAAAGTAGAATCCCTAGATTTATACCACAGAATAAACACAGACAGTATTTTATGACAATCACATGGAGAGCATCAGAGATGTGATGGGATCAAACTGGGTTTTGAAACTTTCATCTTGTTTTGCCTTCTCTCCTATAGAGCCATCTTTCCATTTGACTAGAATTTCAAACCTGTTTTTTTTTTTTTCCTCTACGTGGCGGGCTTCATTGTATATAGAAAGCCCAGTGGCATTACTGTTTGCACCTTGAAGAAAATGATGGTTTGTCTTTTACTTACAAGGACCCTTCACTCTGAAAATTTCAACACAATTCACCCAAAAAACCCCCAAAACCCAGACACCACGGATTGTGTGCACAGCTTGAAGCTGGATACACACGATGGGGGGAAAATCACGATTTTTCAATAGAAATTAAATTCTGTCCTCTTCTTTCTTCACACCAGAACCACTAAACAGGGTCACACTAATTTCAGACACCTGTGTGCTCCCTGTACCTGGGACCCGTCCCATCACAGCCAGGTTGTTAAGAGGGGTATCAGCCAGAGAAGTCTCAGGCACCTCTGCCTTGCAGCAGAATAGCTGAGCTTTGAAATGCTTCTGGAAGGTTTTGCTCAGCCAGTAGAGAGCAAAAGGGTTTACGCAAGAATTACTGAAGGCCAGCACCCTAGATAAAATGGTGATAATGAAATTAATGGCAGATGGTTCTACATAGGTTTGGTAAGAGAATGAGTGATAGAGATACAGGAGGTGATTTGGCAACCAGCAGAGAGCAAACAGCGCCACCAGCACCAATACCGTTTTGGCAATTCTCTTCCGGGATTCAATCTATAGGCGGCAGGGGACAAAATGGAAAAAAAAATCATTTAATCATTTAGCTGGCAGAGATCAAAGCCATCCTCTTGACTGACAGAAATTTACAGTTAACAAGCTGGTCTCTCTTTGAATACATGCTTATGAGCTAACTGGGACACACAGGACATCAACTTTTGGATACAGAATATGTCAAGTTAATCGGCATGGTAACCTGTGATCTTGGGCTCATTAACTCTTACTCTGAGCTGGCTCACCACCCTCTGATGTTAAGATACTCTAGGATTGCTCCAGTTAACTCAAACAGTGCTGTGGAATCCTCAGTGGTTTGATTTCATTAAGAATAGAGACTGACACTATCCAAAACAGCTTGCCCTGCATCAGGAGAGGCTGACAAGTTAGAGAAACCTTCTAGAGGTTAGGAAAGTTGCCAAGATGGCACTAAATGTTGTTTTTAATCTATAGGGGCAGGAATCCTATGGTCAGAGGTTTGAAACTCGTATCTGTAAATACAGGAAATGCACAGGTTAAGTGGAGGTACAGCGTGTGGTTACTGAGAGAGTAAAGATAACAGATAACTGGCTCTCACAGCACTAAATGCACAGCTTGAGCCTCATGAACATGGCTATGAAACTGAGTGAACCACAATAAAAGCACAATGCTCTGTCCCTCCCTCACCCTCTTCCTCTCCATGCTCTGTAAATGGAATTACTCCCTCTGTCCCAGTATAGAAACCTTTTTGCCCTCCCTCACACACATCAAACAGAACAGTGTTTGGTACCATCCTTTCATTTTGAACATAGTAGTGAAAGGATAGCACACCTGACTCCTGCAGTGGTCTTAATCAAGTGTCTGTGAGTCACTGTCTTTTCTTGTCACAAGCCTTTCATTCCTCCCTCTGAAGACCTCAGGTTGTTCATCTGTGTTTAAGGACTTTCCATTGAGTAATCTTATGAGCCTTTCTAGTTCTGTGCATTTCTACTCTTCGGTTATAATTTCTAAAGCAAAAAGTCTACCTTATATGAAGCTCTTTACTCTTCCATATGATAAATAGCTTTGACTGCTCTTAAACTTCACCTGTCCTGTCTCTAGTAGTAAGATTCTCACCATTAATTGACTGCATAGCAACATCAGGAACTACACTAAGGGCTTTATCTGTATCATCCAGTCCTCTTCTTCATGTTACAGATAAAGAAATTGAGGCTCAAAGAGGTTAAGTAACTTGCTTGTGATTGCTCAGTTGGCGTATGATAGAGGGGGTTGCAATGAGAGGCTATGGTCATAACAACAGTACAGTACTGCTACTGGATTTATACACAAGTACAATTTGGCTTATGGAAAAAAAGAGGTTTCACTTCTAAATTCAAACTGCATTTGCAAGAGTACCAGTGAATACGTACCTGCTTTCGGGCATGGCTTTGTTCCTCAGTAGGTATGTTCAGGGTGCTTTTGTAAAGAGTCCTGGCAATCAAAGAATAATAGACAGAGATAATCGAGAGTGGGATAATGTAAAACACCAAGAAACTCAATAGAGAATGTATTTCTTGCAGGAGCCTCTCAGAGACAGGGTAAGAGGTGCACGACTCAAATGTTGTATTTCTCTTGGGATCTCGAAACGTGTATACATTCGAAAAGATAGCCTCTGGTAGAGCAAGTATCATAGACATGATCCAGATGCCTCCAGCTTTTGCACACGTCTTCAGAATGGCATTGGAGGGCTGTCGCTCAAGTGGCTTCACTACGGCTTTGTATCTAGAAACATGTAATGAGAAGCAAAAGTCAGAAGAAGTGACGTGTGACTTCTAGCAGTCATCCAGTTCTCCTTACTCTCCTTTCATACATAACCAAGTCAGCATTAACCAAAGAGTTTCAAGGGTGCAGAGTATGCCGAGAATTCTTATTTTTGCAAATAAGCTTGTCTCTTATTCACTCCTATGAGACATTCCAAATTTGTATTTTTATACTTTTATGTCAGACCCTCTATATAAGACAAATATTTGGGGGCATGTTTTTCTGTGTGGCTGAGAATAATTCACCACCTGCATATTACCTTAACTGTTCTAAAAGACATCCTTTATGCATAAGTGACCCATTTACATGAATTCCCCTTTCTTTATGAGTAAGCAGTGTTCAGCCTTCCTAGAAAGAATTGCATAGATTTGCAGCGGTAAGGAGGAGAGCGTTAATTTCTTCCACATTCTTAAGGGTTACTTTATTCTACAAGCTAATAGATCAATAGGGAGATTTAGGAGAGGGCAAGGGTGAAATTGAAAGCCTGAGCCTGGGGAAAGATACTTCCTCATTAGGACAGATCAGCCTTAAAAACTATAGTGTTTACTGTTGTCTGCCCTCAAGTAGAATATAGGATCAGTAAAAGAAAAAAAAATCCGGAAAAACAAAAAGAGGAAGCCTTTTTTCCTGTCACATTCTTGAATCTGAAGCTACTCGTGGCACTGTCAGGCATTGGTTACTTACAGGCTTTTTTAAAAACACTACTTTTACCATTTTGGAGCCCTATTTGCCTTATTTTTCATGTTTTCACAGTTCTTCAACAATAGGAACACCAAAAAACACAATACTTAAACTGAAAACATCCTAACAGAGTCAGAACATCCTGACGGTTAGGGATTTCACATGTTCTAGTCACAGCGCTCTAAAACTCAACTGGAATTCATTTGTTTCTCTGAGAATGATAATGTCACCAAATGCTTATAGAGAAACAAATAGAATTAAGAGATGGCACTACACTGAATTACCATGGAGCTGGAGATTTTACTGCTTTCCTGCCATTAGCTAATCTTGTGAATTTCAAATAAATTACATGCATTTTATCTCTTTACTATCCTCCCGGTATATAATAATGCATACACGTTCTATTCTACACCTATGCTAGTGTTTTCATGTTGACTATATTGTACCACTAGGCTGCACTGATGTATAAAGCATGAGTTTTTTTTTTCTTTTGCACCTGCAACAATTCGCCTTAATAAGCTGGAGGAAAATAAAAACAACACTCAGCATTCTCTCAAGCAAACAATTACATTTCAAAGAAAATAAATTCCCCCTTAAAGCATATATTTTCAAGCACTCTGCAGACACTAACGGAGTCATCTTAACATTTTTACACCAACTTTTATTGTAAAATGCCACCGGATTTTCCAATCTTACATTTAGGTTACAGAGTATAAGAAAAGCCCAACGGCAGCCAGTACACGTTAAGTAAAGCTTTCCTTTCTTTTTGCCTAATTTCCCATCCCAGCAAATAGAATAGAGAAAAGAAACTCACCTGTCAGCACTGAGAATTGTTAGCGTGAACACTGACACACCGACAGAAGTGAGCCGGATGAAGGAGAGCACCTTACACCCGATCTTTCCGAACAGCCATCCTTCTGCCAGGTAGTGGGTTGCATCCACTGGCACACAAGTCAGCAGAAGTAACAGATCTCCAAAAGCCAGACTGGTGATGAAAATATTGGGAACTGTTTGCATGGATTTGGTCTTGAAAAAGACTTTGATGAGAATAGCATTTCCAAGGATGCCTACTGAAATGATCACAGCATAAGTGATGTAGATGGCACACAGAGCTTCTATTCCTGGAGAGTTGTCTCGGGTTTGTCCTTTATGTGTTACCGTATCATTGGAGACGACAGAGCTTGATGATTCTGTGTCATTTGTGATTGAAATTAAAGTCTGATTAGGTGACTGAAGCTGCGTTTGAGACATTTCTCCTGCTCGCAATGCCTTCACTCCCTCTTCTCTGCTCAGTTCAAATGTAGTTGTCACGTCTAGTGCCTACGTCTAGTAAGGAGGTGGTATCAGGAGAACAGAAGAGAACAGAATGGAAAGAAAATGCAAGACATCCGGCTACTACTTCCCTTTGGTTGTTCTGTGTCTCCCAGCATGCTTGGCTAAGCGCTTGCCGATCTGGCACTAGGAAGTGGGAGGTGGAGGATGGAGGAGACTCATTGGTATTCCTATGACATAAATGGAGGGAGGGGGCTAAAGAAGGGCTCTGCAGTTGAGTACTAGTCTTTTTTGGTGGGCATTCCTTTGACTAATTAGGCTTATAAACCATCTACTTGTTTATTAGACTCAACCCTGCCTTCAAAGCTACCCAGTGTGGTCAATATAGGTCTTGGTGATTACAAAAAATAAAACCCTCCCCTCCACCTCTACCATCACACGGCAGTCTAATGCATTCTCTTCTATATGCCAAGTAAGTGTAAATGTACCCCAAAGCTCAAACTTGAACCCAGTATTCAAAATTTAATATCAGCAGGGCACTGAAGCAACAAATCACTCATACCTTGACAGGGCTCATGTCACCTACAAAAAGCAATAATCCAGTGACCTGGGCTTAATATCTAGCTCTGACATATGGTAATTCCCAACCTTCATGTTCCTGGATCTGTCTTGTACCATATCAAAGCAACTTATAAGTGATGAAAAAATCCAGGCAGATCACCAGTCATTTTCCCTCTCAATGTCCTAATAAAAACAGTTTTCTAATTGATTGTTTTAATAACAATCTTTTTTTAAAGGTCTTTTTAGGGGTTCTCAAATTAGAAGTTGTTCAAATGCTTTATTCCACAACCAAATAACACATAACAATGCCTCTCACGGTCCTGACCCAAATGGTGTAAGAATAAAAATGATTAGTTTCAGATAAAAAATGCTGTATATTACTCCAGAGATAATGAGCATGCAGATGATGTTTATATCAATTAAAGAAGCAGAAAATTAAAGCATCAGAAAGAAAATACCATTTTTTACAGAAAACATGTAGGGGTGTGTGTGTGTGCATGTGTGTGTGTGTGTGTGTGTGTGTGTGTCTGTGTCTGTGTCTGTGTCTGTGTCTGTGTGTGTGATGGAGGTAATGTTAGGGAGTATGATGGGACAGTAGTTTAAAGATAGCTAAGAAATAGTCTCTGAAATTATCAAATTTAATACATACTCTAATCTCAGAGAAACCTTGTATAATGGGGTGTTTATAAATATAACCATATTACAAATGAATCTGGGAAGTGAAACAGCAAAGTGTTTTGTGACCTGATGAACAAGGGGTAAGAAAAGGTTGCTCTTAACCCTGGAAGAATAGGTACCATAAAGAAAGTGAAATGGATGAAGGACATCAATTACCTGGTTCTTTGGGCCCTCCAAACCATACCTCCACATGGTGGAGGTGATGAAAATACCTCCACAGCTTTAATTACTGAGTTAAATAAGTGCTTTTGATGGGAATTGGAAGGGAGCGTTTCCTTAAACTCAGATCCCCAAGCTTACATGTATATGTACAGAAGTCATTCCATCCACTCCACTGGCTCTTTAAGATCATCCCAACAAAATCTTAAAGGAGCTCTCCCAAGTTCACATATTGTTCTCACCAAACTAATGAAGAAATATTTCTGGGATTCCTGCATATCATTTAGCAAAGAGTAAACAGTATCTCCCAACTCACACTACAGCTCACCTCTCCATATCACTGTTTTGTAAGAAGCAAATGCTAGCATGTGGTTTCAGAAGTTATTGGAATTTCCAAGATCTCAGGCTCAGTCATGCTTCCAGCAGGCTTCAACCATCAGCATCCTTTGCCTTCTTTCTCTTCCTTCTGATCTAGAACTACAGGAATGAGTTGCAGTATTGGAGTGGTGCTGGAGCACTGTGGGGCCGGGAAGAGATCTTGTGTCCCTAGAATCCTGGAATTCCAGAAAATCTGAAATGGAGATTACCTTAGAGATAATGAAATCAGATGTTATCTTTCTGAAAAGACAGAACTAAGTTCCAGAGGACGGAAGTATCTCACCAAAGGCCTTACAAGCACTCCATCGCAGAGTTAAATATTTTCTCTCTGGATTCTAAAGGGTTAAAATCAGTGACAGAAGCTAAGCAAACACTCAGTTTCTGACTATGAGCCATTTTTGCTTGGCATCTTAGACTTATGTTTTCTGCGTGTTCTATTAACACCAAAAGAAATTTCTAAACTAATAAGCAATTCGCGATAGACAATTTAAATGCACCCTTTTCATACATATCTCTCTTACAATCTTATAGCACACCCACAAGATATGACCATACCTAATTATTTTTGTAACTAAAATTTCAGGGAATTAGCCCTGAAAATGATAAGTCCTTTTGTTTGTTTATGGTGCATAATTGGTCGATATCTTCCAGCGTTGTCAGAATCACCTACTTGATTATAGATTAAACAATTGAATTGAAAAGCAAATGAAATAAACAATATTTAGTTACCTCTGCCTGAATGAATGCAAAAAGAATTGTGTATCTGAGAAATGAAAAGTTTTTAGGTATCTCTGGTTGATTTATTTATTTTGAAAAATCTCCATCTAACTACCGTATGGTCCAGCTATAACACTCTTTGGCTTATACCCAAAGGACTCTGCCTCCTACCACAGAGATACTTACACACTCATGTTTATTGTTGCTCTATTCACAATAGCAAGGGAATGCAACCTGCATAGATGTCATCCATCCACAGACGAATGAATACTGAAAATGCAGTACATATGCACAATGAAATTTTGTTCAGCTGAAAAGAAAAATGAAATTTGCAGGAAAATGGATGGAACTACAAAAATTGTGTAATTCTGACTCAAAAAGACAAATACTGGGTGTGCTTTCTCATATGTGGATTCTAGCTTTTGATATATATATATATATATATGATTCTAGCTTTTGATATATTTATATATGTATATATATAATGTATGCGTGTGTGTGTGTGTGTGTGTGAATTTAGGCCATGAAACTAGAAAGGAGACCACAAGAAGAAGAAGAGGAGATGCTGAGGAAAAGAAGATGGCAATAGAATACATGTGACACGAAGCTGGAAAAGAAGCTACTGGAAGTTGGGGCAAGAGGATGGAAAAGAAGAGTGTGGATGAAAGAGCAACAAAAACAAATTGTGCTTGAAAATGCCACAATGAAACCTAATACTGTGCATGCTAATTAAAAATAATATTAAAAATACATAAATACTTAGAAGTCTCAATTACAGAAGCTCTTGTTTTTATGGTCCTGTGCTAAGAAACAGGGTGAGTTTGTTATTAGTTAATAGGGTTTGATCAATTATAAGAAGATGCAGTTTGACTTGTGAGTATATCTGGATCCTATGATTTCTGTTGTTACCAACTTCTCTCTTTGTCCTCATAATTGCTTGCGCTCAAAACTAATCAGTACAGTTCCACATTCCAAGGGAAGGCAACTACTCAGAATGGCCTTTTCAGAGACTAAGAAAAATAAGCACAAATTGCAACGGTAGGCTCTACTAAGCATTGAATTTTCTATTTGAGTATTTTAAGTGGAATTTGTTTGTTAAAGGCAAATTCTTGGCATGACTAACCCGAATGCCTCCCTGAAAGTACACAATTATGTAGGAGCTTCTCAGATTTAGGCATTATTGTAGACGCCTTTGTTTCTACATGGAGCTACTCACATGCCTAGTCTCACATGCTGTGATCAGTATGAAGCTCTACAATTACAACAGATTAAGAAAAATTTGCATTTGCCAAAATGTTAAGGCTTTCTGAACACTGAAGTACAAATTATGAAGTAGATAGACTTATCTCAATGCATTTTTACCTCTCAGCAATTTTTCATTTCCAGGAAATTTCTTGCATATCCCCCAATCATGTGTCCCATTCCCACATGGCTTGCTCTCAGCCTCTTACTCATGAATCCCTGTTTAAGGTGCTTCAAATCAATGAAGACCAGATGCTTACCAGATGGCCCAACAATTCACTCCTAGGTATCTACCCAAAATAAATGAAAAAGATATGTCCACAGAAAGATTTGTATGCAAATTGATGTGGAAGAATTTTTCATAAAAATAATTATAAATAATCCACATTACCATCAGTGAGAAAAATGAGTGAACAAACTACTTATGTAACAATGGAATATTATGCAACAACAAAAATGGCAAACTTCAGCTACATGTTATGACAGGAATGAATCTCAAGCATATGCAATGACATACATCAGACATATTATATGAGTCCTTAATGTAAAGTTCTAGAAAAGGTAAAACCACCATAAGTGATATATATCACATCAGTAGTTGTCTTGGCCTGAAGATTGGAATACAGATTCCTGCTGAAGAACACAGAAAAATTCAGGGATAGTGGAAGTGTTCCAGAACTATGTAGTATTGTATAAGAATGGTTGCCAGATTATAGAAATTGATTAATGCTAAAACTGCACATTCTTAGTCGGTGAATTCATGATATGAAAATTAGATTTCAATGAAATTTAAACTGTGGAGTAACTGTAAACCTGGGGCTATATTTCTGAAGAGGATACAGTGAGAAAGACATGTTTAGCAGTCTCCAAAGCATTCTGCCATAACTAGGGCTCATGTTTTTAAGAGGTATGGGGATAAGAAAGAGTTAGCACATAGGCTCAAATGCTTGCTGGAGAGCCTGGTGTGGTCACACATGCCTTTAATCTCAGCACTTGGGAGGCAGAAGCAGATGGATCTCTATGAGACTGAGGCCAGCCTGGTCTGATAATTCCAGGCCAGCTGGGCCTACAGGGAGTCTCAGCCTCAAAAAAAAAATCTTACTGGAAAAAAGTTAAGGACACAAGCAGCCATACAACCTGAACTTTCCTGGCTACGACACATACTTGGCACACAGGATGTTTAGTTTCTTACCAAGTCCTCCACCTTAAGCACTTTTGGGTTCCCATAGAGATGAGGGAGTTGTTCCCAGATAGGATTGGTGGCAATTTTTAACCCTTCTGGATCTTTTAAAGGGTGTCTTCTGTGCTCATAATGGATATCCTCCCTAGTGTTGTTGCTGTTCCACTCAGAGCCCTAAATTGTACACTATACTCTCCATGTCACTTTTAC